CTACCCTCGTCGTTGTCAGAGTCGAGCAAATCTTATTTCTGTTCGTCGGTATAACCAATTTTTGTTTTAGTCTCGTTCGTCCATTTTTCATCAAAATTTTATTTTTTAGGGAATTAAACGTGGCAATTTATCGATACAAAATTTGCAAGAATTATTCTTTAATATAGAATTATATTTTTAGTCTCGTTCGTCCATTTTTCATCAAAATTTTATTTTTTAGGGAATTTAACGTGGCAATTTATTAATCCAAAATTTGCAAGAATTATTCTTTAATATAGAATTATATTTTTAGTCTCGTTCGTCCATTTTTCCTTGCAATTTTATTTTTTAGGGAATTTTATTTAACGTGGCAGTTTATCAATCCAAAATTTGCAAGAATTATTCTTTAATATAGAATTATATTTTTAGTCTCGTTCGTCCATTTTTCCTTGCAATTTTATTTTTTAGGGAATTTTATTTAACGTGGCAGTTTATCAATCCAAAATTTGCAAGAATTATTCTTTAATATAGAATTATATTTTTAGTCTCGTTCGTCCATTTTTCCTTGCAATTTTATTTTTTAGGGAATTTTATTTAATGTGGCAGTTTATTAATCCAAAATTTTTGAGAATTATTCTTTAATATAGAATTATATTTTTAGTCTTGTTCATCTATTTTTCCATGCAATTTTATTTTTTAGGGAATTTTATTTAACGTGGCAGTTTATCAATCGAAAATTTGCAAGAATTATTCTTTAATATAGAATTATATTTTTAGTCTTGTTCATCTATTTTTCTTTGCAATTTTATTTTTTAGGGAATTTTATTTAACGTGGCAGTTTATCAATCGAAAATTTGCAAGAATTATTCTTTAATATAGAATTATATTTTTAGTCTCGTTCATCTATTTTTCTTTGCAATTTTATTTTTTAGGGAATTTTATTTAACGTGGCAGTTTATTAATCCAAAATTTGCAAGAATTATTCTTTAATATAGAATTATATTTTTAGTCTCGTTTTTCCTTGCAATTTTACATTTCAAAGAATTGTATTAAAAGTTTACGAACGAATATAAAATTTCTGTTAATTATTCTTGAATTTAATTTTTAGTCTCGTTCGAGGAATTTTCCTTTTTTAAAATGAGTCGATGAATTGTTTTAAACGTGGAAGTTTACGAACTAATCTAGAATTTGTATTAATTCTTCGACGTTAACTCCACGGCTACCATGGCTGTTTAATTTATATTAATTATTCTCTAATAAATAATTAAATTTTTAAAAATTCAGGAATGATTCTAAAATTTCTATAAATTATTCTCGAATAAATAATTAAATTTTTTAGTGTCATTTCTCAACTTTTCCTCACAATTTTCCCCTTTAAAAATTCATGGATAAATTATATTAAATATGAATGATTCTAAATGAATTTAAAATTTCTATTAATTATTCTTGAATAAATAATTAAATTTTTTAGTCTCATTTGTCAACTTTTCTTCACAATTTTCATCTTTAAAAATTCGTCGATAAATTATATTAAATATGAACGTTTCTAAATGAATTTAAAATTTCCATTAATTATTCTTAAATAAAGAAATTTTTAAAAATTCAGGAACGAATCATAAATTTCTGTAAATTATTCTGGAATAAATAATTAAATTTTCTAGTCTCATTTGTCAACTTTTCCTCACAATTTTCCCCTTTAAAAATTCACTAATAAATCATATTAAATATGAACGTTTTCAAACGAGTCTAAAAATCAATTATTCTCGAATAAAAAAATTTTTTAAAATTCAGGAACGAATCTAAAATATTTATAAATTATTCTCGAATAAATAATTAAATTTTCTAGTCTCATTTGTCAACTTTTCCTCACAATTTTCCCCTTTAATAATTCATCAATAAATTGTACTAAATATGAACGTTTTCAAATGAATTTAAAATTTCTATAAATTATTCTGGAATAAATAAATGAATTTTAAGTCTCATTTATCAATTTTTCCTGACAATTTTCCCCTTTAAAAATTCATTAATAAATTGTATTAAATATGAACGATTTCAAAGGAGTCTAAAAATCAATTATTCTTGAATAAAGAAATTTTTAAAAATTCAGAAAGGACTCTTAAAATTTCTATAAATTATTCTGGAATAAATAAATGAATTTTAAGTCTCGTTCGTCAACTTTTCCACACAATTTTTCCCTTTAAAAATTCATCAATAAATCATATTAAATATGAACATTTTCAAACGAGTCTAAAATTTCTATAAATTATTCTCGAATAAGTAATTAAATTTTAAGTCTCATTTGTCAATTTTTCCTCACAATTTTTCCCTTTAATAATTTATCAATAAATTGTATTTAATATGAACGTTTTCAAACGAGTCTAAAAATCAATTATTCTCGAATAAAGAAATTTTCAGAAATTCAGGAAGGAATCAAAAATTTCTAAAAATTATTCTGAAATAAAATTTGCTGGATTCCGCTTACGTCTAATCGTTTTAACCCGCAAAGCAAACCCGCTAAAATTGAAGATCGCCTCAAAGTCTCGACGTTCGAAACATTGACGTCTCAAAGGAACATGTTTTCGCTGCAAAGCGCGAATATATTTTCGCAGTTGGCGCTCTGCTTCGTTTTCGTTTTTTTTCTCATTTTTTTTTTTTTTGGCACGTCAAATATTCAAACGTATATAATACAATATAAATAGATCCAACGGAAAGAAATACACTGGCGCTCGTAAGTATTTACCCCTCTGACGATGTCAATAAATCACAGAAGATAGGGACAACTCGAGGGACAGAGTTTTGGGGAAAGTCAGAAGAAAAAAAAAAAATAATACTCAATCTTATTGATGGTTTATAAATGTGTATAATAACAGAAAAATGTTACAAAACAGCGACAAATTGCACTTTTGTTTATTTATCACGTTTGCTTGAAAAAATATATAGTCATGCTCATAACTAGTTCTCCCGATTTTTCTTTCATTATAAATATAAAAAAAAAACCCACTTCCATGGTGGAGATCGATGTTTGTAATTATTTCAAACAAATAATTCACGATCATAAATAATAAATAATTTATGATCATTTAATAATTGTTTTTGAGAAGAAATTTGAGCGAGTAAATACTTATGAGCGTCGAATTTAGCTAATTCGCGAACAACGACGAAAAATAAATCGAAGGGACGAAATCGACATTTTAACGATTCGTTAATAATAAAAATTATGGCACTGGACACTTGATTATTCGTTAATAAATTTTGGTGCGTCGAGGACCAAAGTATCGTCGTTTGCACGCACGCGAGAATTTTCGGAAAATTTCTTCGAAGTGTGAGTGTGCAATGATAAACAATTAGTAATTGTTATTAACCCTTTGTGACCTTTATTGTGTTTTTTTCCTCGAAATAGTTCTCGATATGCACAATAATGCAAACTAAGGGTCTGGTCTAGAATTTTTAATAAATTTTCTTTAAATTTTCTTCGAGTTATCAAATTTCATAAATTATAATAGGATAAGTTTAATTCTAGACCAGATTATTAATTCTTTGAGGGGGGATTCCCATTAGGAAGGTGAAAAAGGGCGATTTTTTAGATATATAATAAATTACAGAAACTATAATTGGATTTAGAATTGAAAAATTGATGCAAATTTTTGTTTTTAAAATTTTAACGTTGGATAGTCATGATTCATGGATTTGGAAGTTTAAATGTGTATTTTGGAATCTTTATTTAAAATTGAGGAAGCTAACTCAGTCATAGAATATTTTAGTGGAAAATAATTGATTTTAAATTGAGAGTGTCGATACCAAGCTCTTTCAAATGTCGCCATTTTGTTATATTCTTTAATTCAGTAGTCATAGATTTTATAGATAGGCAGTAAAAATATCTTTAAAATAATTATTATAACTCAGTCCTAGAATATTTTCCTGTAGACAAATTGATCTATTTATTTTTCTTTCAGCCACCGCCATTTTGTTGAATTATATTTTTAATTCAGTTTTCCATAGATCATATATTTTAATGCTTGGTTTAGAAAACGAGCAGTAAAAACACATCCAAAATAACTATTAAAATTGAAATAACTCTCGAATATTGCCAAAAATAAACCAATAATTATTGGAATAATCTAACCCAAACCTAACCTAGCCATACAATATTTTTGTGGAAACTGATTGACTTAAAATTCTGTTAAATCATATTTTTGCTTCAATATTCCCTAGACCACATATTTAACTACTTGATATACAAAATGGCCATTAAAAACACATCCAAAACACTTATTAAAATAGAAATAACTCTCCAACATTGCCAAAAAACTAAAACTCTACCCAATAATTACTAAACCCATAAACACAGCTAAAATTCTCTAAAATTAGCCAATAATTCCTAAAAAAATCGCATTTCTAACGTGGGAATCCCCAGCTCATGAGACCACAAAGGGTTAACAACGATCTCGCCTCCTCAAACGATTAGACGTTCAAGGCTACCAAAAGACCTCGATTCTCTCATATCTATACATCCTCCCCCATTGGTGTCTCTCCATTCACAAAGTAACTGAAACAGTCGTCGATATTCGATGGCACGTACGATTCATTGGAACCGCGATCCACCTTCTGTGAATGTTTCGGCGCGAAGCTGAGATGCGTGCAAATGGGGGGTCTCCCTCGTCTGTGGACCGTCCTCTGTGAACGTTCGCCTCTGAAAGAAAAGGGGTAACGCGCGTTCGCGAGTCTCAGGCGGTTCGTACGGCCGTTGGCCGCCAGATGGAACCACCGGAACCAGCTCGAGTCGCGCGACTGGCGTTTTGGCAGTCAGCTTTTTACGTTATGGCATGCACCGCTATCACCCATACGGTTATGGCTCGCGTCAGTTTGGTCCGCGTACCGCCGCACAGGAAACGTTCGTACGCGGAAGAAGAAGAACGCAAGAGGCACTGGTTTAGTCGTAGTCGAAGCAAGAAATCTTTTGCGTTACTGCATACTTTAAAGTAATAAAGACACTTTGATTTTACGTAGATACGAAAGCTGCGACCATTTTGTTTTATTTTCTTTTTCAGTCGCGTGTAAACGATGATTAATTATTGCTCGAGTATCTTACTTTCAATAAATACGATCTCTCGGTTTTACACGATCCCCCGTTGCATATATGTACTTGACTTCGATTAAATATGGCAACGTGTCCCCCCCCTCCCAAGTCGTCACGACTAATAATAAACGGTCTCTAACAAAGAACACGCGGTATCGAAGCATCCCAGCGACGATCATTCGATCATTTACCTAATCAGCCCCCTAATTTCCCAGCGTTCTTCTTAATTTGTTCATCCTCTTCGAGTCGCAGTATCGTCTCTCACGTCGTGATTGGTAAAATAGGACAATCTCTTTTCTACGGTCGTTTACTTTCAACATTCGTACTCTATCACGTTTTCCTCCACGACGAGCACCCGAACTTTCGTCTTAATTTTCTCTAGAACAGTCTTTGCTTTCCTAAATATTAAATTTACCCGTGCTCGTTCACGACTTAACGAAATGTACAACCGATAAAAACCCCCGGGTCTCGAAGCATCCCTTTCTTCCCCCACTCTTGTGATTTCCCACTAAATCCTCTGGGAAAATTGTCTCTTGACCTCCCCCGGAACCTCGTCCACGTTCGAATCCACGAACGGGATCGCCGACAGCCGCGCAGCACGATAAATACCTAATAAAGCAAATTCTCAGGATCGTTTTTTTTTTTCGCGCCTCGGGCAGAATCGGACGCGACGATCCAACGATAGTCGTTTCTTTTTTTGTCTACGTCTAGGGTCGTCGTATCACTGGGTTCCCCTCTTTCGTCCCGATCTCTGATGCAACTTAAACGATCAAGGGTACGCAGGCGATCGCCAGGACGACGGACGATAACAGAACGTTCGATGAACCAGCCATGGTCGCCTTGACGCGATTCAACTTCGTCATCGGATCTGAAACAATGATTAAACGATCGAAACTATTCCCAAAACTTATTCTGCGCCAAGATATGATGAATATTTCGATTATGAGGGTGTGATTTCGCTGTAAAACACTACAAACAATTTGTGGCGCGACTTGGTGGGAGGAACAGCGAGGATATGGGAACGGAAGGTCGAGCGCTTGCGAGAGAGTCGAGAGCGTGGCCCTCTGGCGGCGAGACCGGGGAAGCAACGCCACAAATTCTTCTAATCTTTCGTTTCACTTCTTCGTGCGCTGAAAGTACACTTTTGGTTAACGTAAAGTATAGAGAATCGATGTGAAATTTCGCTGCATATCTGAAAATCAATTTGTTTTATAAAAATGGACAGCAGCGACGCATAAATCATACTAGAGTTCAGCGAAAGTAGAAAAAGTGATTAATGGTCGGACAGCCAAATCGTATTTGATACCGGTTGTTATGAAAGTGGTCTGACTCGCGATATGATGAAACGTTTCTCGTTTCTCTGAGACCGAAATTTAGATCTGTACCTGGTGTGGTGGGGCCCATTCCTGAACCAGACGCCTCGTCATCGTCGTTGTCGTCATCGTGGGCGTCTTCGTCGTCGTTGTCGATGACGTCGCTTTTCACTTTTTTCCTCCACATCGGTCTGTCGCCGCTCCCGGAACCGTCCAGAGCCTCGTCGGCCAGCAATATTCCGCTGTCTGGTGCCGACGCCAATTGCGATTGCAAAATCTACAAAAGATAAATAGGAACGTCTATAAAGTAGACCTTAAACGGTGGAACTATTTATATTAAGGAGAGATTCTCGTGTAACAGTGTTAAAAAATGTGGCGAGAGTGTTGTCAATGTATTCGTGAGGTTCTCCCGAGGAAAACGAGTACAAACACGACACCATTCGGACGATTTTTAATTATATGTAATTTAGAATTCTTGAAAAATAGTTCGAGTGAGTCAAAATGTGGTGAGAGTGTTATGGATGTATTCGTGAGGTTCTCCCGATGAAAACGAGTACAAACACGACACCATTTGGACGATTTTTAATTATATGTAATTGAGAATGTTTCAAAAACAGTTCGATTAGGTCAAAATGTGGTGAGAGTATTATGGATGTAGTCGTGAGGTTCTCCCGATGAAAACGAGTACAAACACGGCACCATTCGGACCACTTTTAATTTTTGCCTAAACTATTTTTGAAACATTTTCAATTTATGTATAATTAAAACTTTGTCCGAATGGTGCCGTGTTTGTATTCGTTTTCATCAGGAGAATCTCACCAATACATTGACAATACTCTCACTCCATTTCGACTTACCTAAACTATTTTTAGAAAATCCTTAATTATGTAAAATTAAAAACTGTCGGAATGGTGTCGTGTTTGTACTCATTTTCATCGGGAGAATCTCGCCAATGCATTGACAATGTATTAACCATCAAATTTTTAGAAAAATTTTCTTGAATTTTAAAGCTGTTACCTGAGAATCCCCCTTTAAATATTGTAAAATAAAGAGTACGTATGGGGTCTAACGTTGACGCTTCCTGTCTATCCCTGTGCTTTGAAAACAATCATGTGGACGAATGAAAATTCATTTTCTGTGTACTCGTGGCTAAACGGTTATGAGAAGTGTTAATAATATTACTGAGAACGTCACGGTTATTGACTCATTTGATTGCAGATCGTCCAGAAATGTGCTTCGAGAACGTTTATTCGCGTTCGGTGCAGGGTGTATGTAGATCGTAACCGGATAAACGTTTATTTTTAAGGAAAAAAGGTAGAATAACGACGTTCGAATGTGCAATGCTCGGCCGAGTCGTTCATAAATCATTCATGAGTTCGCACATTGTCATACATATCGTTCCACGTTCCCTTCTTCTGACAATGTACGATTTCAAATTAGATATTACACAGGTGCGATACGTCTGGAGCTGACGGGTGTGCAGGTAGAGCACAACATGCAACAGCCATAAGTTGGCGGCCTGATTTCCAGACAGGAGAGTTATGAGTGGCAGTTCTGGTCTAGAATCTTCCAAAAATCCATTTTCAATATCCTTTTTTTAAAATATCTGCCTTCGAATTTTTAGTTATTCTTCGTTTTTCTAGCGAATAAAATTGTTCAAATTCTGATTTTCAATTGTCCCGTCGATCTACCTTTTCGTAATAAAATATAACATCGAAATACTCGATGAATTATCGTTTACTGAATCCTTCGATTCCGGCCAAATAACCATCTTCAAGTCGCCCTTTGTTGAGCTTCCTTTCTCCAATCTTCGTCTCGTCAGTCTCAACAGTCTCAACAGTTCCTTCTCCTCCGATCGTTATCGAATTTCATTTCATCCATTGAATGCTGCGGAACAAGCTCCTAATGACGGTGGAACAATGAGCGAAATGTGATAAACTAATTTAAGAAAATAAGTAACAAAAAGAAACTAATGGAACATTGATAAATTACCTGACGAGACTCGATCGATAACAATTTTCTCAAATTCACGATACACAAAACACCACACAAGCTTATGGTCAATTAAATAATTAAATAATTAAAATGTTCAGGGAACAAAAACTCTCAGAGTGGAAGAGTTGGACGAAGGCCTGAACGCGTGCCAAACCACCAAACTGTTACGTTTCTACTCGTGTTCTGTTGAAGTAAAGGATAATTGATCGTATAGCCTTCGTTTCCAGTTATATATGCACTTGGAAATCCAAGAAAATTTCAATAATCGTGAGTCTGAAGTGGTTGATCACTCCTTGGTAGCTAGGTTAGTTCACTGGTTGGTAGCTAGGCTAGTTCACTCTTTGGTAGCTAGGTTAGTTCACTGGTTGGTAGCTTAGCTAGCTTATTCCTTGGTAGCTAGCTAGCTCACTCTTTGGTAGCTAGCTAACTCACCTCTTGGTAGCCTAGCTAGCTCACCTCTTGGTAGCCTAGCTAGCTCATCTCTTGGTAGCCTAGTTAGCTCACCTCTTGGTAGCCTAGCTAGCTCATCTCTTGTTACCTAGCTAGTTCACCTCTTGGTAGCCTAGTTAGCTCACCTCTTGGTAGCCTAGCTAGCTCACCTCTTGGTAGCCTAGCTAGCTCACCTCTTGGTAGCCTAGCTAGCTCACCTCTTGCTACCTAGCTAGCTCATCTCTTGCTACCTAGCTAGCTCACTCCTTGCCTACCTAGCTAGCTCACTTCTTGCTTAGCTAAGCTTAAAATCGTCCAGAAATTCAATGTCGACAGCGTATAAACTATCACTGGATCGCTCTTAAATTATCGCAGGCTATTTATTATTCGACTAAACGTCATTTCTGTCCGTGCATGACTAATATAATCGTGCCACGCTCAGTAGAAAGAATTAATGCCGGTCGTTCTTGATTTCTTATGTATCTGATACCCTCCAGTCGCACCTGTTTGCTAAATACAGACAATCGGGACCGACCCGTGGTACCGATCTCACCCACGCGGTCTTAAGTCAGATCTTGTGCGCCTTAGATCTGCGCACGTACGCCAGACACGGCTGTACACCTCGTCGTATGAATAATTCGAGATTAGAATGTAATTTATGATTCCGCTGGCCGTTCATACGCGAGCTGCTGATTCACTTACGCCCGGGCATTTCACGCGTTGCATTCCATATCACCAAAAGAATGCTAATAAATGAGATTCACTGTTTTTTGAAACTCTTTTAAAAGACAATTTTTCAAATTTTAATTTCTGATCATTTCAACCATTTTTCCTTGATAATATATTTAAAAAATAAAGAGAATATTCTACAATAAATAGTGAAATATCTCCAAATTTTTGAAAATTAAAAATTAATTGCACGTTTCAGAAGTGTTTATGTTTGAATTTTTTGTTGAAAGAAATAATATTTAATGAGTTCGGAAGAGATGTAAATCTTCGAGGGGCAATGTCCGGGATAATATGGCGGATGATTCATAAATTACTCAACCGAAGCCTTCTAATTTTTATAACCTTTCACGTGCTGCTCTAATTAAACAAAACTCCATGGCGCGTGACAAAAGCCCGTCGTATTTGTTCGCTAGTGCCGGCTTTAATCGGTCTAATTGCTCACAATAGAACTCCTTACTTATTGTTTGATTGCGGGGCAACAGTTCATAATAGATAATTCCTTCCATAATAGTTGGCCAAATAGACAATAAAGTTTTCTGAGAGCCTGGTCTTTGTCTCGACGACGATACCGAGACGCTCTCGTCGCGATTAACTCGTTTAACAGAACTATATTTATCTAGCCTTCGAAGTCAGAACAAAATCAACGTTTAAAATATCACAAAAATAAATATAAGAAAATAAAAATTCGACAAAATTATTTTTCTCCCCAATTGATCCTGGCTATTTTTAACAGGATTCTGATGAATATTGTTTGTTTTTGTAAATAGTTATACTTCGATGCTAGAATAAATTATTTTTTTTTAAACATTTCAAGCTATTTTTATCTTCACATTCGATATGTTTAAATACAAAATTATAATTGTGAACGTGTTAAATGTATTGTTGGAGTAAACGTGCAGCTTTGAGCCACTGTTTGCGTGAAACGGTATTGTCTTGTTAATGTGAAAGTCAGGTTCACGCGAATGTGCGTTTCTTACCGCGCGAGGAAACTGGCAAAGTTAAAAACGAAATGCAAACTCGAGGCGCGTTTAAATTGGAAACAAGGTAACCCAAGGCTGAGACAAATTGCAGTTCGTGGACTCACCGAATTAATGTGCCTTAATTGGTCTATGAGCGCGCTGGTGTTCGTATTGCCGTAGGTGCTTGGCGTCGGTGACATGGTCGTTATAGTGAACTCAGGATTGTACCTCTGCGCCGTTAGGGTCGAATCCACCACCGTCTTTGCGTACCTGCAAACAACAACATATACGAAATTAGTAATACCTAATTCGTGCAATTATTAAATAGATATCAATTGTTTACACAACAAATAAACGAGTTGTTTGTTAAATTAATATAATAGTTATTTCTTTACCATTCCCTCATACAACTCACTCACATTGAATTTTATTTATTATAACACTTTTCTTTCAAATTATAAAAATCTCAAAATTGTCAATCTTGAAAAAATTTTTTTTTTTAGGATTCTAGAGACCAAAATAAGACGAAAATCAAGAATATCAATTTTTCGTTTGAGGCTTCGTTAAAAAGTTATTAACGTTTAAAGTTAAAATGTGCAGCGGGCACGGTTCCCGTTTCACAGGCGCAACTAAAAACGTTAATAACTTTTAAACGAAGCCTCAAACGAAAAATTACTATTCTTGATTTTCGACTTATTTTGGGCTCTAGAATCGTCCTCCATTAAAATTTTTCCTCAAAAATGGCCGAACAGCCTACATATTTAAGAGTGTCTAGCGCCTCTATTTCCATCATTTCTGAAAGAACATTTCTTTAGCACAGAAACGTGGCTTTTAATCTTACGAGAAGACACTTTTAGCAAACCAAGATGGCGTACGGTGTGCATGTAACAATTCGAAGCTATTCGCGTTTAACCAACTGTAAAGAGAGAATGTTCCTCCGGCATCCGCCTGTTATCTTGTTGTCGTCACCGTACCGCGCTTGATATTCACGAGCAAGTCGAGAAGCGTGAGGAAAGAATTATCTGCGGGAAGAGATAGGGAAGAGTAGCAGCCGTTCTATTTGCGTTGGTTACGTATTCGTCGGACCGACTCTTTTGAAACGACCGCCCCGACATCGCGTGCCATTCATTACTCCGCCAGTGCACGTACACACGCGAGCAGATGTCCCGACAGTGAACGTTTCTTCGTTTATCACCGATTAATTATGAGTTTCGACCCCTTCTTTGATCCGTTCCTGCGTCCCTGAGTTTCTTTCTATTTTTCCATCTTTCGGTTTTCCTCCTTTTATCGTTTCATTCAGCTCCCCCCCCTCGGTCGATGCTTCCTTTTTCTCGGTGCCCTTCGTTACGTCCGCGAGCCGAGGAACGCTCCTAGCGACACTTTGATCGATCGCTCGCGGACCAACTTGTTTCTTTATTCATTGTGCGCGTGCAAATTAATGTCGAATTGAAAAATGATCGATCGCGCTTCTTTGTGCGCGCAATTGATAAATTAACACGTTCGTTACGTTGGACCTCGATGAACGACACCAGAGACCCTCTTTCGAGGTACGGACATTTTTTTAATCGAACTTTATAATGGAATAGTTTCAGTAATTTGTGATTCAATATGCAATCAAAGGTATGGTATTGGATTTTATAGAAAGTTTAATCTCTTTTGGGTTTGATAGATCTTCTTTCGATAAAGATTGCAAAACTTAGTTGATTCTTTCAAATTCAAATGCAGAGTGATTTATTGACAAAAATAAATCATTATATTCTTGGTCAGACATTATGGTTTCGGTAAAGAATTTTTTTCTCGAAAATGCGTAGGATTTCAGGGGAATGTCTAATGACCCAAAATGATTGTAATTGACCCCTGCAACCATAAATAATTTTTTTGGAATGATTTGAAATTTTTTAATTTCGTCAAAAAATTTCACACATTCTCGAATTTTTTTCTCGAAAATGCATAAGAATTCAGGGATATATCTAATGACCAAAAATGATTGTAATGGACTCCTTCAACTAAAAATAATTTTTCCAGAACGATTTGAAATTTTTCAATTTCGTCTAAAAATTTCACACCTTCTCGAATTTTTTTCTCGAAAATGCATAAGAATTTGGGGATATATCTAATGATAAAAAATGATTGTAATGGACCCCTGCAACTAAAAATATTTTTTCCAGAACGATTTGAAATTTTTTAATTTCGTCAAAAAATTTCACACATTCTCGAATTTTTTTCTCGAAAATGCATAAGAATTCAGGGATATATCTAATGACCAAAAATGATTGTAATGGACACCTTCAACTAAAAATATTTTTTCCAAAACGATTTGAAATTTTTCAATTTCTTCTAAAAATTTCACACCTTCTCGAAATTTTTTCTCGAAAGTGCGTAGAAATTCGGGGATATATCTAATGACCAAAACTGATTGAAATTTACCTCTGCAACTAAAAATATTTTTTCCAGAACGAATTGAAATTTTTCAATTTTTCAAAAATTTTGTTATCATTTTTAACTATAAAACTTGTTTGATATTAAATTAAAGCAGCTTCAAATTTATATGCACTTTTGTTTGTCAATAATAAATTTGAAAAACACGGAAGATTGAAAAATTATGTAGACCTATCATGAAATAGCAGGGATATTAGCAGGGAAACATTTTGTGCATGCAATTCGCTGCAGCTGCGCTTCTCGATGCATTTCAATGCCGACCATTCACGCAACAGCCTCCCGTCCAATACTTCTTCCCCCCCCCTCTCGCTTATATCTATCTTACTTAGCTCACTTCTTCTCACTTCTGCTTATACTTCATTTTCTACTTTACTTTTTACTTTGCCCCGCAACATCGCATTCAAATCGATTCGCGCGAATATCTTGGAAACATCCATCGTTGAATAGTTTCGTGGAAGATTGGGGGGGGACATAATCTCGTGTAAATAGATTCGTATAGCACGCTTTTACCAGTGCCACGACATTTACCCTAATCCCTCAATGCATCGCTGTTTTCAATGTTTCATAGTGCAACGATGAAAAATAAACACACACACACATGCTCTGTTCACATTCATTCTTCTTCAGAATGGCACGAGAATTACTATTTATTATTGAGGGATGCACTTTTTACGAACTTATACAGCTAAAACAGAATAGAAAATACTATATTAATATAAAAAAAAAATATATTAAGAGACGTGTAAATACATCATACTTCTACATTATACAATTAGAAAATTGTAAGAGCAACAGGAAATAATAATAGCAGTAGCAATAGTAATGAGAAATAATAGTAGCAATAGCAACAGAAAATAATAATAGTATGTAGCAATAGTAATAGTAAATAGTAATAGTAGTAGCAATACCAGCAACAAATAATAGTAGAAATAGCAACAGGCAACAGCAATAGTAGTAGCAATAGCAACAGGCAACAGCAACAGCAACAGCAAATAATAGAAGCAATAGCAAGAGGAGACAGTAATAGTAGTAGCAATAGCAACAGGCAACAGCAATAGTAGTAGCAATAGTAACAGGCAACAGCAATAACAACAGCAATAGCAACAGCAAATAATAATAGCAACAGCAAGAGGAAACAGTAATAGTAGTAGCAATACCAACAACAAATAATAGTAGCAATAGCAAGAGGAGACAGTAATAGTAGTAGCAATAGCAATAACAAATAATAGTAGCAATAGCAACAGAAAATACTAATAGTAGTAGCAATAGCAACAGAAAATAATAGAAGCAATAGCAAGAGGAGACAGTAATAGTAGTAGCAATAGCAACAGGCAACAGCAATAGTAGTAGCAATAGTAACAGGCAACAGCAATAGCAACAGCAATAGCAACAGCAAATAATAATAGCAACAGCAAGAGGAAACAGTAATAGTAGTAGCAATAGCAAGAGGAGACAGTAATAGTAGTAGCAATAGCAATAACAAATAATAGTAGCAATAGCAACAGAAAATACTAATAGTAGTAGCAATAGCAACAGAAAATAGCAATAGTAGTAGCAATAGCAACATCAAATAGCAACAGCATTAGCAATAGCAACAGAAAATACTAATAGTAGTAGCAATAGCAATAGCAAATAGGAATAGTAGTAGCAATACCAGCAACAAATAATAGTAGCAACAGCAACAGGCAACAGCAGTAGTAGTAGCAATAGCAATAACAAATAGTAACAGCAACAGCAATAGCAATAGCAATAGGAATAGTAGTAGCAATACCAGCAACAAATAATAGTAGCAACAGCAACAGGCAACAGCAGTAGTAGTAGCAATAGCAATAACAAATAGTAACAGCAACAGCAATAGCAATAGCAATAGCAAATAATAATAGCAACAGCAACACTAACACTAAATACTAGTAGCAACACCAATGAGAAATAGCTTGCTACTGTTACTTAAAATATTGCTCCACATTTGGCACCTGTCACCTACACACATTCAGGCACACTTTATTGCCACAAACATCCCCCCCATTGTACTAATAAAGCGGTAATCCGACATTTGAAGCGTTAATATTGTAGATTCTTCCCGACCGTGAACATTTACTGCCCCGATAGTCCGGTTTATCATTAACTAAAATCGTTTTGACGTCTCCGCCGCAATATCGGAGAAGTTGTCACGACACATTCGAGTATCACACGCTTGAACAAGATTAATGCCCTTACGTGCCCCCTGGAGAGGCCACAGGGGTTGGAATTCAACCACGAGGAGCCTCTGGAACGTTATAAATCCAATGTGGGTTCTTTGTTACACTCATTCGACTGCTTCATTACAGCGGGACGGAAACACCACGCGATAATATGATTTATAGGATAGTAGGGGGGTGGTCCACAATAATGAACCCCTCTAATTGTGTATTTATTTAATTCGAAGGTCATCAGAACTCGAAGGTCATCAGATCTAGAAATTAATTTTTTGTAACCCCCCCCACAATTTTATTTTTGAACTCAAAGATACTAATGGGTACACTAGGTAACTAATTAAATTAGAAAAAAGGTGAAAATATTTTTTGTACCCCCCTACAATTTAATTTTTGAACTCAAAGGTACTAATGGGTACACTAGGTAACTGATTACCTTGGAAAAAAGGTGAAAATTAATTTTTTGTACCCCCTCAATGAGTTATTAGGGGATTTAACTGGGGGATTTTACTGGAGTTAGGAGGAGTTATTGAGGTGGCCTTGTTTAGATGGATCACCCTGTATATAGGCGTGAAAATGTTTTCAATTTTTGTTCGTTTCAGAGATGAAGTGAACCACGAGTGAAAATATGGAAAATGG